AAACTGAATAAAAAAAAAAAAAAAAAAAAAAAAAAAGAAAGAAAAATCTGATAAAGAATACAGGAGTTGAATAAAAGTCATATTTAGTCAAAACTTAGTGAACCAGACCAAACCAAACCAGAAGTTCTATATGTTTCATGTGCGCCTCAAGTAAGTTTCATCAGTGCTTTTTAGAAAATAATGCCATGTTTTTCTAAAWTTCTCTATAAGAACTGTCATTCTCCCAACTAATCATTACCATTACTCCACCAAACCTGTCCAAGTGCATTTGGCTAGCATGTTGGCTGGCAGATATGCGCCACTCTTGACAGCTTTTTGGCACACTGGCAAAACTCTGCCTGGCTCATAAGCTGAACTTTAACACCCTAAGAAAAGGGCAGGTCTGCCAACGTGTTAGAGAAGTAAAAAGAGATTGACAAAAGTTAGACCTTTTGGGATGGCACTCTGGCTTGTTTACAGATGGCTCTCTGTTCTCAAAGAGGAGTTTCTGAAAGGAGCTACATGCTCTGCATGTACTTGGGGAAGAGCAGGAAGCATGCACAAAAGACCACTATATAATTTTACAGGTCTAGTTTGACCACACAAGAGCCAAGACATTTTGAGCTGAGAATGGTGTCAGCCTTAATTTTGAATTTCCTGACTTCTGTTGATTTACACTGGGTCCTTTGACATTCAAAACACTTCTGCACTTCATAAACACAAAAACTTTTCAAGGAGTTTATAAASCAACCATTTCATCTCTTGGGTAACAACACATTTAGGTTAAGACACTGTTTTACTAAGTATTTATTTATGCAACTTAAAATATGGATTTTGACTTCACAGTATTGCTCCATACTCAGCTTGGCTTTATATACAGGAACACACAGGATTTTCAAAGCGCCTATGTAATACTGACACGTGACAATTTAGTTTTGGTCAACTGTCAACAACATCATTAGGCAGTTACACACATATCAAGTTAAACAAGGTTTTTTTCCTCTGAATCCCCATATGTTGACGTGGCAGCCAAATTTTATACCAGGCACGGGCTGACTCAAACCTTCTCTAACAACAAAATTTCTCAGATTGAATGGCTTGATCTAATTGGAGATGACAAGTGCTGCTGGCTCGGGCTGTATAGCAGTCTTTGTTGAATAAATGAGTGAGTAGCCACAAAGAGACCTTGATGATAAAAAGGCTAAGCCTCAAGTCACATAAGAAACCAAAGTTTCTAGTGCAGATGACATAGGAGGCCTGTTTGTGATCAATTCTAGCACTGTCAGTCAGATATATTTTCTTTGACACTGAGTTCAACATAAAAAAAATAGTCAGGCCATTTACTGGTTTTACTTGATTCTTCTTGAAAAAGAAACATTAAAAACCACCTGCCTCATGTTCCAAGCTCATAACTTGTCACAAATATCTTTTCACATCAGTATCAGTTACATTTGGAGTTTAACATATCATCCTTTCATAGTAAAGAAAGTATAGTTAGAAAATTTTGATGTGGATTATAGAATAAGAAAACTGTCAAAACAGATTCAGCAGAGGAACAGGGCAGTATATTCATAAATGGAGCTGTCCAGAAAGAAATCCACATATCAAAAGTCCGAAGACTGTGTCAAACACAAAAGTTTAGGAAATAAGTTGCTGGTCTGGTACAACCAGAAGTTCACATCGGCAACTTGGGGGAAAAAAATTATCTATGTTATGTCTTTATTCAAGAGATACACAAAATAGATCACCAAACAGATTGAATGGTTCTGTTTTCTAGAGTTTGTTTTTKCATCTATATGAATTCACAGAGGGGAAACGTCAAACATACCTCTTCACAAACAGTAGAAAATCGGTTGAGAAACTGCACTGTGTGAACCACAAACTGGTTTAGAAACGCTACAGTTCTTTTCTGCTGAATAGCAGGAACCTGCATTAAACAATATAAGAAAACTGGATTATACATGGGTGTCACTCCTGGACTGAAGAAGTTATAAAAAATGAAAATATTTTATAAGAAACTATTTTAGAAGCATCAAGTGTGCTTATTATGAGTTCATATATGTATACAAATATATCTATATTATATATTGTATACAGAAGCACATATATGCACATATATATCACAGAATGACAGAATGGTTAAGGTTGGAAGGGACCTCTAGAGATCATCCAGTCCAACCCCCTGCTCCAGCAGGGACACACAGAGCACGGGGCACAGGGCGGCATCCAGGCAGGTTTGGAAGATCTCCAGAGAAGGAGACTCCACAGCCTCCCTGGGCAGCCTGTGCCAGGGCTCTGGCACCCTCACACGGAAGAAGTTCTTCCTCACATGGAGATGGAACCGCCTGTGTTGCAGCTTGCACCCATTGCCCCTTGTCCTGTCACTGGCCACCACTGAGAAGAGCTTGGCCCCTTCCTCCCTACATTTTCCCTTCATGTACTTATACATGTTAATCAGATCCCCTTCAGCCTTCTCTTCTCCAAGCTAAACAGGCCAAACTCACTCATTATATACATATATACACACGTGTATACATATATATACACATAAACATAAATATATACATATATGTATATATAACTTCATTGCTTATATAAATTCTTTTTCACTAAAAATCTTACTAACRTCATACTTAAAAAGTCGCAGGACACATGGAAAAGGGAATATCCACATAACTAAGGGACAGCTTCTATATTTAAGAAAGTGCTTTCAAATGAAGTTATGAAACCCTTGAAAATCAGCACCAAAATAAAACCAAAACGGGCAGCAAGTGAGAACCTCTTCTTCTGAAGTTAAGGAGCAAAAAGAAAACTTGGCCATTAATTTACACATTTACCAGGAGTAACAAGTAGGGAAATCTGTGTCACTCTTTACCACTTTTACTGTTATTTTCAAGGCCAGACCCTCTCTCCTGACGCTAGACCAGAGTGCGGCTCCTCCGGGGGAGCCACTGGCTCCTCGGCAAAAAGAAAAACGGCCCAAAAAGCGACTGCGCAGGGCGCCCCTCCGGCCTCCGCTTCCCGGGCGGGCGCCCACCCCTCGGGGCAGCTCCTCCGCACGCTCCGCCGCGGMTAACGGCCGATGCCTCTCGCTCCTCGCGCGGCTGCCGCCACGGGCGCGTACCTTGGCAAGGTCGATGCCGGAGCCCACGATGGGCAGCCCGTCCTCGTCCATGGCCGCCGCCGCGCCCCGGAAGCCGCCGCCGCGCCCTGCGCCACCGGAAGCGAGCGCGCCCGAGGTGTGCGCATGTGCGGCTGCTCCCCTCCGCCCCGCACCGCCGCAGTGCGCCATGGGAAGTGTAGTCCGAGCGAGCCGCCATGGCTGCCACTTTGCGGTTCCATTTATAAGATGATGGTGTCATTAAAGTGTCACCAGCGCCCTGACAGGGTGCCGTTTGAGAAGGGGGGCKTCTCGTTAAGCCTGGCTGACCGCCCACTTTGGTGACTGTGTAATAACGGGTGTCCTGACACCCAGGGAAACACAGAACTGGGCACAGCAAACCGAGGGAAGGGAAATGGTAGAGCTTGCCTCTACTAAGAGAGAAGTAACGGCTGGCAAAATGTATACCTCGTTAACACGTGGTATGATAATTATGAGAATTTAGAGAAAATTCATTACAACATCACAGCAATAGGTATCACAGAATGAGCAGGAAAATAATACCAATAATAATAAAGAAATAATACTAAAGAAGGTAMTTTAATAAAGAAAAGTTCTTCACCACACAGCCATGTTACTATTTTCTGAGTATGCCTTTGATGTGGATGTATAGAGGGCCTTCCGCGCTGGCATACAGTGACGTTTTGTTTTGCTCTGCAGTGCCTATTGCTCCTTTCCATTTGCTCTCATGTTTAGGTCTACTCTGTTTTTCTCTGCTGAAGAAACATAGGAGTATCGGACTTCAAGGAAAGAGGGAATGGTCAGGGGTTTCCAAGTGTTCACCCCAAAGAATTCCCTAGCTGTAGAACAACTAACCAACCTATTTTTTCTTATCTTTGAGGAGCTGCTCCTGCTCTTTTCCATSACGGCTCATTCAGGGCACTAGTTAGGCCATTTCCACGTGGGTCCCAACATGAGAGTAACTTTAGTCTCTTTGGCTTCATCCGAAAGGTTTTTCCACCTCCTGTGACCCCTCACGGCCAGTGTGGCGCCCAGTTTACCATTTGCCAGCTCTAGTTCTCGGTGAACCCTCATGGAGATGATTCAAATGGCCTTGCAAGCAGACAGCTGACCTCGGGGGAATGAGTTTTCTGCCTGGCTAACGAGCTGAATCAAAGCAGACAGAGATCCTGCCATCTCCGACAGCTACCCCCTTGGCATTGCAGGGGAATGGCAACAGAAAGAGGCATTTTCTTTTACTAGATGCACATCTAATCTGTAGTGTTAAAAATAAGTTGAAATAGCTATTTTGCTTTCTGAAACACTTTGGTAGTCATAGAAAAAGCTTAAGAAGGAGACCTGATCTTCTGGCATTGTTAACTGCTTCTGTCATCTGCGGTCTTAAGATTTTTAATGTGGCATGTACATTTATGCACAGTTATATACAAGAGATTGTGAACTGAGCAGAAAGAACGTTTGCCCCCTACTTTAGGGGCAATAAGTTTGACCGTAAAACTTAAGGGATTAAATAAATTGGTTTCCGCATCATCATCAGGTCTTCCATGAGCTAAGCTGTCTGTATTCTTTGGGAATGATCAGCCAGCCAGCTGGTTATGAGCAAAGAAGAAAAAAGTCATTAAACATTTTTGGACACTGCCTCTTGAAGAGTCAGAAATGGCAATTACGGATAGATTGTACATCTAATCCTGTGGTGGTTTAAGTATGCACGAAGGATGAGAAATTACTTTTAAATCCCCCAACACATGGCTCCAAATACAGTATTAGGCACACTGGCAGTTTTACGTAAAGCCCAGCTCCAGCAGTACACGCAGACTGAGGCTATTGCTTCCTTGAAAACTGTCATTGACTCTCAGAGTTTATTCACAGGTTAGACAAAAATGACTAATCCAGAAAAGCAGCTAAGCTTTGGAGGGTTCATTGCGAGCACAGACTTCTCAGTCCTGACTCTGGGGTATGTTTTGGAAGTTTAAGCTAAGCAACTAAAGATGCTAAAATAAAGTTCTATACTATGTTAGTAATCTGTGGTTCAAGTAAACAAACAGCTCAGACTTTTAATTGAAAACCTTAATTCATTTATATTCCACCGTGTTACTGGAAGACAAGACCAATCAGGGTGATTTGAGGCCCTAGGTTATTTTTAGCAGCCTTGTCTCCAAACAGAGCATAGTGAAGCAAATAATTCCTAAAACTTCTCTTGGCTACCTCTAAATGCTGGTAAATCTAACAAAAATATTTAAATTTAGGGCAATCTAAATCTAAAAAGAATCTACCATGGTCTGAGGCTGTCACTAGGAAGCTTCTCCCGTGATTAAATGAACCAAAAAGCACTAATTACTTCAATAGTATTATTTTCAAAAGTGCTGTGCTAATTTTGATTAAAATTTTAAATTCTCAGTTTACTTCCAAATTATTTTCTTTCACTAAGCAATTTACAAACTCCATTTCCAAGATCCATGAGAACTAGAACGTAATAAAAGCAACAACATCTGTTGGTTGAAATTTATGTACTGGAGTAGCTTTTCTCATATTTCCTATTTAGAAATTTCTTTAACTTACATTTGCCTTACTCCTATCTCTATTGTTTTTATCTAAAATACCACATAGCAAAGTCTTTTTCTCCATACTGTTTGAATTATTGAACAACCTGTGTTTTGTATTATGTTTTGGGGCAGTGACATATTCTTGGCAATCTCTTGCATTTCTCAAAGGAAGGATGGGGTTAGCCTACAAAATTCAATAGTTTTAATCGAGCCTATAGCGATTGTGCAACATATTTTTTGGGGAAAGGACTGTTTGTTTAAAACAATAAAGTGCTGCCTTAATTGCCTTAAACAATGTCTTGCTGCCTTAATTGCCTTAAAGGAAAAGTTATATGCAAGAAGAATGAATCTCATTTACCAAAATATGCCCATGATTTGATTTGCTAAAATGAAATGCTAAAGAAATGCAGTACTGTAGACACTTAGTCAAATCTGCTCTGAAGCTCTTGGTCTGTAAAACTGGACAAGAAATCTAACAAGAACTGGCTCTTCCGTGAACTTGCTGGTACTTTCAGCTTTTGCTTTGGCCAAAAATACTGCACAGAAAGCTGTAACACAGCACTTTTCCTCCCAACTGGAAGTAGGAAATGAAGGCTATGAAAAGTGAAAAACACAAATAGAGGCAAATAATCCTTTTTATTTTTTTTTTCTTCCCCCAAAAAAGCCTCTTTCAAATGTTTCAACTGAGGTAGTTAAACTGGAACTATTAACGACTGAATCCCATTGGGAAGATTTATAAAAAATAATTCACGCATAATATCCAAATTTACACGGAGTAGGATTTGAAAATTTATTTTTGTACCAGCATCCTACTGATGATAAATATCCCTTTTAAGGAATAAACCTGGTACAAGTATGTAAACGAAAGCAGTTTATACCCTATGCATGTGTACATATGTACGCAGGCATGGAATGGCACGGTTATGTAGCTCCACCTTTCAGTGAACCAAAGATTAAAGACTGTTCAACAGCTATTAAAATAAATTTCAGTTGAATATTAGTATTGGCAAGGTGTTCAACCTTAGAGATGCGTAGGCCAACTTGGAGTGCAAAAGCTGCGTGTACAGAAAAGCGATCAAAGCTTTGTCTCCATCACTAGTAAAAAAATATTGTCAGAGCCTAGTGATTAGCAAGCCCTACAGAGCAAGGGAAATAGCATAGGTTTCAAAACACTGAAACTGTGCTGCCGCATAGATTTTTACATTGCACGAAATCAGCCTCCAGTCAACTGCAAAACAAAATTGCACAAGCTGAAAAAACTGGCAAGTGCTACTGTACCTTAAAATGCTCATATGCATTTTATATGCCTATATACTGTTACAGGTCCCGAGGCACAGCATTCTGTTAGAATCAGCATGGAACCCAAAGCGCTATACGATTGAGAAGTTAAACAGAAACGAAGAGCTGATCCAGAAAAATTTCCAGACGTGGTGTCACCTGATCCTCCGCAGAGGCAACAGTTGTTTTTACTAAGGTGGTCCAATGAGCAGCTGAAAAGGTCAGAGTGTGGATTAACATTTTTTTGATTTCCCATGGAGTCCTCAACATMCATGCTAACAAAGGGAATTCTGGCACGGTTTTCCAGGTGAAACTGATACAGTCTCAATGCTCCCCCTCCCCAAATAAAACCAAAGGGGAAAAAAAAAAGTCTATCTCAGTAATTCAGGCATATCAGAATATGTGCAAAGCTGACAAAAGTTCAGAGAATTATCAATCCTTGAGAGTTAAGCAGACTGCCAAAAGCAAGTTTTAGGTACTTTACAGGTTGATTTAAAAAGTATAATTGGAAACAATGGTTTGTATTTCTCTGAAAACTTCTCTTTGATTTTCACTTTTCAAAGTTCTGTAGTAAGGAAACATCAGAGTATTATCTAGTCATTTTGTTCTGTAGRGAAGAATACAGGAAACACTAAAAGCATTAAAAATTAAAACTAATTAAAAAGCATTAAAAGCATTTTAATTTTTAAAAACTCATTTTATGTGGGAAAGGAATATATTGAGATATATTAATATATTTAATATATAAATATATTAAGCTTTGAATAAGAACTTATATGTTCTTGCTAAATAGCTTTTGGTTCAATATTCATTAAAAATGAGTATTAAAAAAAATCATCTTGGCTTCTRGATTCTATACATAATGTCAGAAAAYAGGAGAAAACTTTTACCCTCCCTCTGCCCCCTATGGGGCTAGGAGCTATTCCAAACAACAGGCTCCGAGTCCAAAGTCCGAGTCCGAGTCCAAAACGCACTTGCACGTTATATAAAGCAAATTKGCACTAGTCACTCTGGGTAATGAGTGTACTGTGTGGTATTCTACAGTGTTATACAAATTTCCTCATTTTTAAATACAGTAAAAATCAGACTCATTAGTTTCTCCTAAAGCCAGAAAAACACTTAAATATCTAGCACATGTATCACTGTAATGAAGTTGAGAGGAGGCAGAAAAAAAGCTGTTTAATTTCACTGTGGGACATATCCTGAAGGGTAGAAGTGGCCCAGTGCAGTCTGCCCTTCCACATCCGCACAGATTTTTCGCTCCGTGTCCACGAGTCTATGAAACCTCCTGGTTAATCTGTGCTCTGGTTAAACCATGGCTAYGAGGTCAAAGCAGTGCTGGATCTTCCAACATGCTCCGGTCTGCTTATTCTGCAGTTTTAAGCGTGTGCTACTTCGTGCAGGACTGCACAGTCCTCCAAACCTATCTTATATTTAACACGTTGTGCAAGTTCTAGCCCAAGCACTTCTAGTTTCCTACATACTGGGATTTCCTTTTGGCTTTAGATATGCAGCTAGTTACTTTTAACTCTCTACTGCTCTAGAAAGAAGGGGAAAAATGGTTTATATGGGCTTTAATGGTTTACGGAGGCCCCATAGAAGACTACGTATCTGGCACAGAGAGCACACAAGACTTCCATGTTATACTTGAGGGGCCAGGATTCTGACAGAAACACCAGTGATTTGTGCTTCCCTGGAAAAGGTCTCCCAGAGATTGGCAAGGAGGGCAACGAGTCAGACTGCTGCTCAGTGCAAGAAACATGCAGGACRTTTCAATGCCCTTGCTGCAGTACAAGGGAAGAGGGTGGTGAAGGCCACCAGAGCAAGGCAGCATCTCTGAAAATGTTATCTGCATGCTGGTGCATCATCTACCTGGGGTCTGTATCAGTTAACCACCCTTCTGAAGGGAAATAACTGTTTGAAGCACAAATGATACAATTGGCCTTGAAATAATCTGTAAAAACACAGTTGGTGCCTTCACTTGTACCTAACAGGCAGATGCCTGCAGAAAGCAGGGCAAGTTCAAACAGCAGATGGAGGCCTTCCATGGAAGAATGGAAGAAACCCCTTGTCCAACCCCTACTGCCCTGCAGCTAGAGGAAGGTGGCTCCTGATTAATTTATACCTCATAACCAAGAGCTGGATGTAGTGAAAGATCCCACAGCAAAAAGATGAAGGAGTTTTTTTTTTTTTTTTTAAACCATTCTGGATTTTTTAGTAGGTATCAGACCATGCCCTTCTGTCTTGAAGTAATTAAAAAAATTGCAATTAGTTTTACTGAGATGACGCCTCTTCCAGTTCACAATTTAGTATTCTGAGATGCTTTTAGAATGAAATCTTTGTATCAGCATATGTATTTCAGCCAGCAAAATGATCAGAAACTTCTGAAACAGACCAGTAAACATAGATCAAATAAAAGTCTTTTGAGATGATGAAAGTGGAGCTTTGTCACAAACATCAAAGGAAGCATGTTTTTGTATCTCTTCCATGATAAAAAGAAATAACATGTTGCTTCTTCCACTTCAAAAGCCATTTTAGTTCTGGGGGAGGAAGACATCTCCTCAGAAGCCTCAGGGAAGAGGCACACAGGTAAGGAAGACCTTCAGATGAACTGCAGTGTGCTATTTTGGCTCAAAGCTAATGACAAAGTGGACAGAGATAGAAGGAAAATCAGAAGAGAGGGAGAGGGGTCAGCTGGAAGGATGCTTTGGTTATGTTGGAACATGATCAGAGCCGAATTGAGAAGATAATACCAAAGCCATGATGACACTATTTGAGAACAYGCAGCTCTTTGCTTTTGCTCTAGCACCATTGCTCGTAAATGCAGTCTCCCACAATTTAGCACATGCTAAACCCAGCAGCCATGGGACAACTCCTACTCCGCTGCCCTAGCTCTCTTAATAGCCAGAGTCCCTACTCTGGACTCTCCAGTAGCTCCATGTCTCTCACACTACTCCCAATGTGGCCTCACCAGGGCCGAGTAGAAGGGGAGGATCCCGGCCCTCGCCCTGCTGGCACCACTGCCTAGCGCAGCCCAGGAGAGCCTTGCCCTTGGCCACAGGCCCCACTGCTGCCTCTTGGTCAGTCTGCAATGCACGAGGATGCCCAGGTGCTTCTCTGCAGAGCTGCTCTCCAGCAGGTTCCCCCCAGCCTGTCCTGGTGCCTGGGGTTATTCCTCCCTAGGTGTGGGGCCCTATAGCTGTCCTTGTTGAATTCATGAGGTTTCTCTCTACCGAACTCTCCAGCCTGCTGAGGGCCCTCTGAGTGGCAGCACAGCCCTCTGGTGAATCAGCCCGTGCTCCAGCTTTGTATCATCAGCAGGGYTGTGATTCTGCAATAACCCTGGTTATTGCCCCAGGATCACAGAATGGTTGAGTTTGGAAGGGACCTCTAGAGATCATCTAGTCCAACCTTTCTGCTCCAGCAGGGACACCCAGAGCAYGAGGCACAGGGCAGCATCCAGGCAGGGTTGGAAGATGTCCAGAGGAGACTCCACAACCTCCCTGGGGAGCCTGTGCCAGGGCTCTGTCAYCCTCACAGGAAAGAAGTTCCTCCCTACATTCCCCCTTCATGTACTTATACATGCTAATCAGATCCCCTCTCAGCTTTCTCTTCTCCAGAGAAAACAGGCCCAACTCACTTGGTCTCTCCTCGTAGGCAAGATGTTCCAGTCCCTTAATCATCTYGGTTGCCCTCTGCTGGACCCTTTCTAGAAGCTCTGTGTCCCTCTTGTGCTGAGGAGTCCAGAACTGCCCCCAATACTCCAGGTGCAGCCTCACCAGAGCTGAGCAGAGGGGCAGGATCCCCTCCCTTGACCTGCTGGTAACACTGCTCCTGATGCAGCCAGGATCCCATTGGCCTTCCTGGCCACGAGGGCACTGCCTCCTGGGCAACTTCTTGTCAACCAGCAATTTCCAGGTTCCCTCTCCGCAGAGCTGCTTTCCAGCAGGTCAACTCCTAATCTGTCCTGGTACCTGGGGTTATTCCTCCCCAGGAATATTCCTTGTCCTTGTTGAACCTCATGAGGTTCATCTCTGCCCAATTCTCCAGCCTGTCCAGGTCCCTCTGAATGGCCCTCCGGATCTTCAGAGCATCCACAACTCCATCTCAGAGTCGCTGCTGACAAGGCTGCCCCTAACCTTCACATCTTCAACCAGTCCTTTTTATTTTGTCAGCCAAAACCACTTTTTTTTTTTTTTTTTTTTTAAATTCACCTCATAGCAAGCAGAAGGATTAAAAAAAGCCTTGGACATTTTATTTTGAAGGAAAAATAAGCAAGCATCAAGTGCATGATATCTGATTTTATGAAAACTTATGTTTGCCAATTAAAAATCATAAAAAGTCTTTTCTTTTCTTATCAAATAAATACCAGTATAAAGAGGAAATTCCTTTATGTTTTATGCATAAAGGACATCAGGGTGTGAAGTTTAATAATCAAAATAAATGCTTATTTTACATTTCAGTCACCCAAAAGAAAATTTTATGATCTCCTCCGACGGCACATAATGGAAGAGTCCTGTGCCAGGTCAAGCCAGATCCTACAGCTGCAGTGCCAATAAGAATGGGCTTGAAAAGAAGAGAGACAAAGAAACATAAATATACCATAGAAAKGGTTACTATACCACATATAACAAATTGCATAAATAAAAACCAAYAGATGTAATATTCTGACAAATATAGTTAAAATAGGAATCAATGAAAAATCTGATCATCTGTTACCTACTTGCAAGAACTATTTGCTAAATATCAAATAAGATGCATCAAAATATTCTGTTAAAAAATATTTCCTTAATTATTTCCATTATTATTTAAAGCACATACTTTCAAACTTAGAGATCTTTTAAAATGAAATTACTTCCTCTTACAGTTATGTACAAACAGTATTTTTTTTAGAGATACTGTTTTTACTGTGATCTTTACAAATGCATGCTACCTTCAACAACAACAAAACACACCCTATGCTTCACGTGCATTGTCTCTGGATATAGTTTCATTAACATTTTAAAATATACTTGAAACCAACAAACAAAGATGACACTCCCCTCCCCCCAAAAAACAAACAAAAAAACAGGCTAAATGCAGTGTGCTTTTTTTTTTTTTTTTTTTTTT